CTTCCTTTCATTTACTCTTCTATGTACATAGCTTCAACTAATGTGTGCCTGACAGGCAATCACACAGCTCATCCAAAGTGATAACAGCATAAGAACCTACATACAGGTTTCCCATAAACCTAGGACTAAATTCAAGGGCGAAGAATGGCTATACATTTAAGGAGCACTTTGGTGGTCTGTCTGACGCTGCTCACTTTACCATCGGGCATACACAGTCAAGATGATTCCTTGGCGGGAAGTTTTCTATCGGGTAAGTTTGTTAAACATAAAGATTGAAAAGTGTTTTCTATTTAATTAAAATTTTTTCTCAGGTCTCTTGGATACTATAACAAGCACAGCCGATTCGAAAGATTGCCCTGGCGTTTGTGTGCACACGCTAGCCACGCTCATTTGCTATGAAGTTCTGGATGATATACCATGTCCATCGCCTAGTATGAAGTGTTGCATCGAAAGTGCGCCAGGTAACATAATTTTTTTAAGTGATTTTTAAGAGAGATATGGGAAACTAAAAAAAAATCGATTTTTGATTAAGGTTCGGCATAAATATTCGTTAAAAGGAACGTAAAAGGCATTATAAATTTTGTTTTTTCCCCCGAAAAAGTCACGAACAGAAATGATTTTGTGAATGTTTATGACGGTTCAAAAAACATTTAGCTTTACTCAAGACCGCGGCAGATGTGCCGTGAGTTTTGAGAATTTAAACCTTGCCTATCTTTGCTCATCTGTGTCCGTCCTAAGCGGGAAATTCGAATAGAATGGCTTCAACGTCTTATTGTCTTCAAAATAAAGTCTGTCTTATATGACTGTAAAAATTCTAATCCAGCGCTATTGAAAAAGCAGTCAGACATGACCCACAGAACTCTGATTTTACCAGCTGAGTAATTTGAGGCATTGAAGAGCCAACTTAGGTCACAAAATAGTTTCAGTCCTGTAAAGATGGTCGATGATCTTTGCCTCGCCAGTTGGCAGCCGACCTCGTAGACTTCGATTTGGCAGTTTCGTGGTTCCTAGAAAAGTGCTTATTTATTACGGATTTTTTGCTATAAAGAAAAGTTGGAGACCACCTAGATATCTACGATTATGTGCAGAGCATGCGAGAGGAAGCTCCCAAAGTTCCTTTTATTTCTTAAGAGGGAGGACACTCGGTTACTAGTTGGTGTACTAATGGGACACTGTTTATTGGCTTTACAAGCTTTTATGTTGGCTCTGCGTAATGAGTAAATTTGTATTAAGTAGAAGTGGAATGAATTGGAGATTTTTTGCAGGTTCAGTCTATTAGAGGTAGCCGAAACTGCGAAAACCATTTCCCGACAGAAGGGGCAGGCAACTTTATATCATTCTATGAAATGGCAAAATCGCATTCTTCACAAATGGCATGAAAGTGGGCGTTGGAATAGGATCTAGTCACTCTAAAACTATCAAAACTATTAATTACCTGGTTTCGAATGGGTCAATGCGAAAAATCAGATGGACTAATCTGCACACATGCACTGTATCGCGTTTACTATATCCACTACTCGATGAAAATAAAAACTCGGAGTTTGCCCATCAAACCTATTCGAACCAAATCACGTCCCCATAGAGTACTGAGCAGTAATGGTTGCAAGTAAATGAGTTGGCCTGCTTAGCCTTTTCTTTCCTCGGAAAGATTTACCAGAAACGTACTGATATATGGGTTCCGCTGGCCGTTTGCTATTTGGCTCTGCTCAGGGAAAGATTTGCCTAAGAATTTGATGTTGGTTAAACAATTTCTTGTCTTTCTAACGCGTCTTCTAGCTGAAGCATTGAAAGACACAGAAATGTGACTACATCAACCTCGTCTCAGTGGTGAGAAAATAAGAATTAATGCAAGGCCCTACCGGCCACGTTTACTTTCCATACAAGCAATTATTTGCGGATATCCCTGACGAACTGCTCGTAGATCTAAAGAAGTTTACATGCACAACGACCTCAGGCAACAACAACACCCAAGTCATAGTGAACAGGGGAACGTTTAATAAGTTTATCAGGATAGGTGCTTAGAGTTTCAAAATCTGACAATAAATTTTAAACTATTGACACTCATTGAAAAAGAGTATTAGCGTCAAATTAGCATTTTGATGACAAAAGTATTTTGTTAGCTCTTTTAATCATTCCTTAACGCTTGACCTTTCTCCATAGGCAAAAATAACACATTGACGCATACGAGTACCACCACAACAACGACGAGTACAACCAGTACTACAAAGCGTCCTACAACCACAACCACCAAATTGACTACCACATCAACCACACCGAAGCCGAAGACCACTTCTAGGCGGCCAACTACAACCACTACAACAACGACAACCACAAAAAAGACTACAACAACCAAGAAGCCGACTACTACCAGCACATTGGCACCGAAAAAAGGCGAAGAGAAGGACGCTGGCAGTATTGATGGAGCTAAAGGTAAATTTGAAATTAGAAAAATATTGAAAAATTCGAGTTCTGATAAAATTTTGTTACTGCCCTACAGTACAAAACTGCACAGGCGTTTGTGTGGCCGATCGCATTGCCGAATACTGTGAGGCTTACCTGACAACGAGCGGACTCTGCACGTCGGGAACTAAATGTTGCGTCTCACTGAACGATTACGCCAATGTGAAACTTCCAAAGGATATCTATGTACCAGCTAGTAAGTGTTGCTGAAGAGTCTTATGTTGGGAATTTTAAACTTTGTTACCTTCACTTATAGAACACATGGCGAATTTGAACAATATGCAACATAAAAATAAGACCAGCGCTACTACGAAGCAAACGACCACAAAGGTTAGTATTCACTTTGAAATCAAAAACTTTCCTGCAAGCTAAAGTTTTTTAAATACCTCATATCATTTAGCAAACAACAACCTCGACCGTAGCGACATCTAGTACGACCGGCACAACACCCGAGCCGGCGCGCACAAAGATCAGTAACAACGCGAACGCCAACAAGCCAGCAAAACACAAAAAGACACCAGCTACCACAACCACCACTACCGAAGATCCCGCCGAGGATGAGCAAGAAGTGGAAGACGATGATGCCGAGGCTGAGAGCGATTCGAACAATGACGCCAACGACAAAGCCGAAAATCCCAATGGTCAAACACTCAAGGAGTGCGAGGGTGAATGCATGAATGGCATATTTGCTATTTTCTGTGATGACATTGACTCAGAGGCCTTCTGTCCCGGTGAGGGCAGTTGTTGTGTGACTGGTGTTGCCTCCGAAGCTACGCCTGCGGCTGCTACCAAGCCAACACCAACTAAACCGGCGACAAAGATTGCCAAGCCACAACAAAGACCGGCCGCAAAGCCAGCGCCACCACCACAAGCAGCGCCACCACTTTTACAATCCGGCGGCAATGACTTTTTCTCACAAATTCTCTCCTTCGCTGAGAATACGCTTGGCGGCACTGGCAATCAGCCAGCGCCGCAAACACCGCCACCCGTACAACGTTGCCCCGGTTTTTGTCTGCTCAACATAATGGCGGCCTTCTGCGAGCGTCCTTCGGTGCTTATCACCACACCGACCACATGTGCCAAGGGCTCTGTTTGCTGCGATAATACGTGAGTCGGAGAGCGTTTGAAAATTGTGGAACTCGATCTTCTAAAAGGCGTCTTATTTCTCTTTCACTTTGCAGCGCTTCGCCACCAAAGCCACCACCGCAAAACAGGCGTCCACCCACAGCCGCCCCTACAACTCAGCAAGCGCCGCCTTATGTTGTACCCAGCACACCATTGCCAGACCCACGTGAAGAATGTCCTGGCTCCTGCATAGTACCGCTGCTTAGCTTCACCTGCTTCAGTAAGTTTTAACTATGCGCCATGCAGTACTTTCAATAAATTCTTAAACCCGTGCTCTTTCTTCATAGAAAACGCCGAGATGACCGACCTATTCAAATGCAAGCGATCTGGGCAGATTTGTTGTGCGCCCAAGAGTCGCATACTCGAGAAGCAACAATTCCAGACACGCAACGATACACTCTACGCCAATTACCCACCGCCGCCTCCAATGGTTGGCGTGCCACAACCATATCCACCGCAACCGCAATATCCTCCACCACCACCGCCACCACATTACATGGTGACGCAACCGCCACAGGCGCATCATCATTATCCACCACCGCCGCCACCACAAATACTACAACAACAACAACATCAGCTTCAACCACAACAGCCCACTTACGATTACGCACACTACGGCCCAGCATTGGTACCTCAACAGCAAGGACATGTACCACCACCGCTGCCGCCACAATTACCACCCACCACCACAACGACCACTACTACAACCACTACCACAACGCCACGTCCACATATCTACTCGAAATATGTATGCGGCGTCAAGGGCACTCTGCGCAGTGGACGCTCAAGTTCTTCACCGGCGCTATCGTTGGTCTCCTATGCGCGCGCCATGTATGGCGTACAACGTTCGGCTCGTCAGCTGAGCCAGGTGGCCATGCCACAGTCACAAGCGCAATTGAACAAATCAAACGAGCGTCTCGTTTTGGGATCTGCCATTGTGCCCATACAAATACACAACGATCTGATACCGAGCGGTGAGTGGCCGGATGCTAACCAGCTGCGTTCGTACCATGAACATCAGTCGATTTCAGCGGCAGCTGTGCAGAGTCGTTATCGCCACTCGGTGGTCGGCGAGCCGGTCTACCCTATGAACTTTAATGCTTCGCGGAGGCGGGCGCGTGTAGTTGGTGGTGAAGATGGCGACAATGGCGAGTGGTGCTGGCAAGTGGCGTTGATCAATTCGTTGAACCAGTATCTGTGCGGAGCGGCGCTCATCGGTACACAATGGGTGCTGACCGCAGCTCATTGTGTGACAAAGTAAGTTTTAAAGCTTTTTTTAAGCCATAGTTCATTGTGGTAGTTTTGAGGGGGTAGACATAGTTTTTCGGAAAAAAATTAGTTAGCGTTTGGTGTTGAACAAGCCATCAAATGGATTTTAGTTAAATGTAAAGAAATTACCACATTTTAGCCGGTCTTCAACCAGCAGTCCTGGAAATTAATTTGCTGCCTAAATTTTAGCGTGGTGAATTTCTATATGTCTCACCAGTCGGTTTGCATGCTCAAGGAGATGCTTTTCGAGTCTCACAACTGGCTTTATGTCGCTTCAAATAGACCTAGGTCCAAGATAATGATCCCGAATTAAAATACGATAGTCAATGACTGCAATTATTTTTGATCCCCTAGCGATTTTTAACAATTCAGCTTTACCTCAGCTCAAAGTGTTACTGGCAGTCATTTTTTCATGCAGGTCCTTCTTAACAAAAGTGGACTGAAGGCGATTAGGCGAAGCTCCCTTAAACCTAAAGCTATTCGATAATATCAAGTCGTGACGGTAGCAGTCGCTGCCTTGAAGGCGAATAACTGGAATTCATTTATTGTCCATCCCTTGAATGGTCCACTTTCCTGGGGCCAGATAAGGTTAGGGTTTTCCAGGAGGTCGGGCAGGCTCTTACTATCCTTTCCCTGAAAGTCTTTAAACCATCCCAATTTTCTCACAATCTACCCTTTCCGGGTAGTCGTCTCTCAAAAATTCGAGGTACTTTCTCCGTAGAGTTGGGTATTCCCACAGGAAGTTCTGGATGAATTCGTCCTTCATCGAACAGTGACCAAAATGAGCAACATACTGTGAGCACGTGCGGGCTAGTTTGCCTGTTGTTAATAGCTACTCTACATTTCCTCAACCCGTGACAACAGCTTCGTGCTTCGACCCACAAAAGGGAACCCAAAGCAGACTCTAGTATTTTGCCCGCAGCCTGGAATGCACTACAATAAAACTGTAGGAATAACATTTGAGTATATGGGTCTTATTTCTTGAGTACTATTATCTTGATGAACTCAATCCTTAGGCCATAATAGTCACTGCATATACATGTTCCGTTTTCAATTGTTCCACAGAGCATCCGTCTACCTAAACTTAGCAGCATAAGGCTTGCTTCCAAACAAGCTTCTACCTATGGTAGACCTGAATCAAGTTCGGTTAGATTAGGTTGAGGTGGACACCCTCTTCTATATCTCAGCTAAAGGCACACTTCACCTAAATGTGGCGTTTAATTGGCTCATTGAGGATTCCACAGTTTTTCTAGAAATAGAATCAGGTACAAAGCAGGCTGACTCGCCAGCCCAGCAGGTTGATATGCCAGCTTAATGAAATTTACCTTTTTGATGACATGGAGTACCTAAACCGATGATCATGGGATATTTCAATAACTTGGATCCCAAATTCGGTTAACCGAAAGCTGATAGTAGACCTTATTTGTAAGAGTTCTATAGTCCTTAAACAGTTTCGATTATCTCAATAAAATATCGACTTGTCCTACTTTCAAATTCAGGTAATAGCAAACCCTAATCAAAGTATTTTTTCCAAATGAAACGCAACGAGAAGCTTCAAAGAGCCGGATCTGTGTTTGGCCATTTATGAACAGCCTGACATCAACTAAAAGCAATTATGTATAAATAACACGATTGTAGTGGTAGTCCTTCCGTAGTTCCAGATAATGGCCTACGTAGACGCCGTTTTGGTTCTCAGTTAGGTCTAACCGTTCGAACTAATTAGTTACAAGTATGTATATTGACCTATTAGTTATTGAAAATACCTTAGCTACTCGTATTTAGTTATATTTAGAGCCATCTTCGTTTCAGTTCAGCAAAACTGATCAGTAGCGAAGAAAGTGTTCAGCTGCCTCGATCTGCTGCCGATCTGTTAGCAACTGATTCCATAAGGTAGTCACGAGTTATGATCAAGTAATGAACCAGCCGTCTTGAGGCGTTCCGGGGGAAAGAGGGTTTTTATTATTGAACCGGTCCCATATTTTAAAAGCTACACCAGAAGTTGGTTCTTCTGCTCATCTTCATATTTACCAGAATTTCACCATGCCTCTTACTCTTCCTACAATTTAAGTCCACTTGGACAGGTACCGATGCTATAAACGTTTTTTGGAGACCAAGAAGAAAAGATAATTTATATATTTGAGTGATTCTTGACAAAAGTCCACATGTGTACTCTTTCAACATAGTTGATTATTATTGCAGTAATGGGGAGGGTTTCTTCGTGAGAAGCTGGTCTGCTATCCCGGTTATTTACCAGGGCTACCACTCAGTGGTTCGAACTGATTAGAAAAGGCTTGTACCGGTTCAAGAACGTGTTCATGAGTATTTCTGAACCGCGGTTGGGTTCAGTTCAAATGGTTCAGTTTTTTTAATGCCAAAGGATACAAATAAATATTAGAAAAATATGATAAATCTACGTACATATCTGTGTTCGTATGGAACAGTAGCTTATGTCGAAAGGCTGACTTTAGTATAGTGCGGCATTCGCAGCATATGATTGCGAATGACTCACTGGCGCCGAGCCATTGAAGAACTTTAGGCAAATAAACGTGCAGAAATAGTTCCGATACTAGTAAGTCAATATTTTTATTAAGTCTCATCAAAAAATTCCTTGCCGATTGAAGAATTAAGCTTCCCGACATAAGCTTCCATACCAACACAGATATATAATATATTGATATCAAATTCAAATATCCACATGTAATATCAATCTGTAAGATTTACTTACTTTATTTTATCTTGACTGGCACTGTAAAATAATTTTGTTAAATTGTTCTGCTGGGAAAAAACATCAAATAAATACAAATACAAATATTGTTGGGGAAAAATTAAATAGGGACGCGACTTTTTTAAAATTTTGCCATTTTTTTTTTAATTTAATGTTTATTGTTTTAAGTATAGTGTATCTTCTAATAAAAACCGAATAGATCCAAGTTTAAAAATTTGTGCAAAAAATATGAAAATTCTTCAAAGTTTCATCGAACTTGCAAACTTTTTAATAAGAATTTCTAGAAAAAAATTTAAGTTTTAAGTTGATTTTTGGTAGTTTTTTTTATACGTTTTCTACCATACATGTATCTTTGACAACGTTTTTGTATGAAAGAAATGAGCAATACACTCAACAAACGCGATCAATGCGAAATTAGAAAAATTTTAATAAACCTAAAGGTTTGGGTTTGGTAAAAGGTTCGGGCAAGTCGTGAGTCTAGTCTAGTAGACAAAAACAACACACTCTGAATTTTGAGCTGACACTAAAAATCATGGCTTAATGTTGAAACCTTCATTTTCGGTTGGTTGGAGCTTACACTAGGCCTTAACCTCATATTTACGTGTATACCTCTGGTCAAAATAATATACTTAAGTGCGATATTTGACTACTTTTCTTTCGTTTCTTTAATGTTCATTATTTTTTATTATAAAAATTTATCTCCTTATATAACAACAACCATATCCAAATATCAAACTTTGTACGAAAATTAGAAAAATCTACAAACTTCAAAAATTGCATTATAGTTTCAAACATTTTAATTAGAAATAAAAAAATTCGAATATGCAGTTTTATAGCAAATTCAACTTTAATTTAACATGATAAGTCACGTTTGAATTACACATCGCTTCTTAAAGGTGAAATGGTGCCAAGTCCATTTTTCTCAAAATTAAGTTTTGATGCAGAATGGCAGGTAACTACATTGATTTTTCGTCTCTCCTGAACAATTTCAAAAAATGGACTTGGCACTTTTTCACCCTTAGGTGACGATATCTTAAGATATGCACCGATTTTAGATTTTTTTTTTCTGGCATTTTCTTTCTTATAAAAAAAAAAAGTATTTTTCAAATTTCAAGTATTTTTTATATGGGCGAAATTATAACTCACACAGATGCCATTAAACTCAAAAATGTTTGCAGTTTTGCCATAGGGTTGCATTTTTAGACAAAGTGAGTATAAAAAAAAAATGCTTTAGTGGATTTTGAACCGAACCGGATAATTTTTTGGATGTGGTTTCGGTTCGGTTTTAGCATTTCAAAATAAGAAATGGTTCGGTTCATGGTTCGGTTCGAAACCCGAAAAAGCGACGGTTTGGTTCAAAACCGGTTTGCAGCCCTGCTATTTACTTCTAGAATTTTGCTATAGGACCAAAGAAAAAATTTTGCTCTAGTGGCCAACTGCGTAAATATATGTCAATCTGTTCCTTTTTCAGCATTGTACGTTCGGGTGACGCCATTTACGTACGCGTGGGCGACTACGATCTGACACGAAAATATGGTAGCCCCGGTGCGCAAACTCTACGCGTAGCTACAACCTATATTCACCACAATCACAACAGTCAAACATTGGATAACGATATAGCGCTACTAAAGTTACACGGACAAGCAGAATTACGAGATGGCGTATGCTTAGTGAGTATAAAGCATGAAACCTCAGATAAATTTACAATTATTTGTGAATGTAGTTGAATTATTTCTAATACAAATTTGTCCCTCTCTCCGCCCTCCAAAGGTCTGCCTGCCAGCACGTGGTGTCAATCATGCAGCCGGCAAACGTTGTACTGTTACGGGTTATGGCTACATGGGTGAAGGTATGTGAATCAAGTTTTTATCTAATCAAAAAAAAAAAAATTTATATTCCATTGCTATCTTTTCCCACCATACAGCCGGTCCAATACCATTGCGTGTGCGTGAAGCTGAAATACCAATCGTAAGCGATGCTGAATGCATACGCAAGGTGAATGCAGTCACCGAGAAGATATTCATTTTGCCTGCCTCAAGTTTCTGTGCCGGTGGCGAAGAGGGTAACGATGCCTGCCAAGGTGATGGTGGCGGTCCGTTGGTATGTCAGGATGATGGCTTCTTTGAACTGGCCGGTCTGGTATCGTGGGGCTTCGGCTGCGGACGCGTCGATGTGCCAGGTGTTTATGTGAAGGTTTCCTCATTCATCGGTTGGATTAATCAAATCATTAGCGTCAATAATTTATAGTCTTAAGGAAATTCGAAGTGCACAGCAAAATAATGGAATCATCAAGACTCTTTACGTACATCGTTAGTAATTACTTAAATATTTATTTTAAAAAGTGAATTTAGCAAAAATTCACATACTTGTAGGGCGCTCTCCGCAAATGGGGAGAGTGCTCTACGAATGTGTGGTTTATTTTATTTAAAAGCAACTTACTAACATACAAATGCATACATATACGTATGTATATATATATATATACACATACATACATGTTTTCGACTGTTGGACCGTAAAATACTTAACCCACTTAGTACTCTATATATGCATTTCTATATTTACTTAGATTAATTCTGTATTTTTAGTTATAAGCCCTATTTACTATTAATTTAATGCTGGATAATGTTCACATTTTATAGTTGCAAAGTACACGATATTAGTTTTACTTAAAAATACATACATACGCCTAAACTATTTTGTATATAACTTAAGTTTACTTGTCTTAAATTGGTTATAAATTCGCTTAATAAAGTATTCATGAAAATATATGTATGTATTTTTCAGTTTCGATGGCCCTATTGGGTGAGGTTCTCCGCATATTAGACTACACTAATGATAACCAGTTTTAAGAGACAAAAGGACATCGTTCGTTTGCGCTAACCTTGATAAAAGAATAGTTACTCATTTTTGTTCGAGAAAATATTTTCACGGAGCGCGCCATAAGACTGCTTTCTCGTCATGCAGACAAATTTGGGTGGCAAACACGTTGACTGCGAATTTCATAGATGACCACAAGAAATATTAATCCCGGGATCCGGGCCTTTTTTAGGTCCCGAAAATCCAGGTATTCTTAGCAAATAATCCCTCGATTTTCGGGATTTGTAATTTGCACTGATGGCAATAATAGAAACTCCTTTTCTTGACCAGTATTGGCACTATTTATATTTTTTATTTAATAATCGAAATTTTTTATAAACGTCTAGCTAGTCTAGCGATAGTAAATTTTAAACACAAAAATCAATATATTCGCGAAACCATGCGCCAAATATAGTAGGAAATCTTTTAGAATTTAAGCGGTTTAATTTTTTGGTGGTATTGAAAATGTCTTTTTAAAATTTTATCCATGAAATTTCGTAATATTTGTTTTTGAAAAAATTATATGTTAAGGACTTATATTAACTCGATAACATCCTCGAATTTTGACCCCCTAGCTTTATCAGCTTAAAAAATTTCCTATTCGTCCTTATGAATCCAATTTTTTTTTTTTTAATTCGAAAGAAATTTACTCTTTCATTTATTCTACTTTGCATTGAATTTTTTAAATAATTTTTGGAATTAATCATATCTTTGAAATGACAATGTCCATTTAAATAAATCTTTACGTCAGAGAGAACAAGTAATTTTTAAGCAAAAAACAAAACCGACTTCATTTCTCATATAAAAATTTAGGAGTACCGTTAATTTTTTCATGATCCAATGGTCGGATCTGGACCAGATTAGTATGGGACCACCTCTGAGAAACTACCTTTCTGATGCAAAAAGTTATGCGGTAACAAACATAAAAAAAATCTTCAGATGAACTGATAACCTCCTCCTTTTTTGGATGTCGGTTAAAAAAATAACGCCACTTTAAATAAAAAAGTAGGTTTGAAATCCATTTATTCATAATTTAGTTTATGGTAGGAGAGATAGAAGCCATTTTTTCAATTTAAGTTGTTGAATGTAATGAATATCTAAACCCCGGGACTAATTGTGATAACGGTATCCCGAAAATTCCGGGATCGTAGAAAGCGAAAAAATTAATATCCCTTATGCCCACTAACCTTCAGCAAGCTAGAGTCGTCAACTCACTCAGTATCAGTTGCAAACTATATTATTAAATAAATATGTAGCTCAGAATATCCTTAACAACTTCGTAAAATTTGAGGATGTACATATTTATAAATAAACTTTTGCATAAGGATTTTGAGGGCTATGACAGAGTTAATAACATTATAAGTTTCACCAGATATGTTTAAATCAACTTGAACGCTGCTTCAGATCACCTAAAAATTCTACGCCCAAGAATTGTTGACTTTCTACCCCTTTTTAGCAGTCTATGGACATTCGGCATATTTATGTAGAGCTTGTTCAGATCTTATTTTGGTTAGACGATGCGTAGGCTCTTAGCTCGTTATTAGACTTGCCCTCATCGACATCCGTACAACTTCAGCGTTGGATTTTATATACCTTAAGGATACTCTTTCTGAATACGAAATTGACCAATTAGCATCAGTTTGCCCGAAAGTGAAACGACTGGTGTATTGAACCCAGCCAAACTCGCCTAGTCGGTTACAATGCTTGGGCTAAATTCTTGAGCATCCCCGAGATTAAGGTCGATGTTGTGGCCGGTGGTGAAGATTTTGGCAGAATTATACAGGCAGACTTCACCTACTTTGCCGATCGCAGCCTTATACAGCTGCCTTCATCTTCTATTGATACAAGCAACTAACTGTATGACCTATTTAAATTCGCCTGTAGCTCTGGTTGATTTGTTGGTTGATGGGGCGAGTGTTGACATCATTTCATTTAGCACTGAGTACGTTCGGCTTTAAAACTGCAATTCAAAACTTAACCGGAAGTTCAAGAAAGCAAAAAGAATATCATTAGAGATTATTCTATATGATCGAAAGATGGAGTAGATTTCAAGAACTGAAGTACATCCAGTGGGGTTATGTCTCTCTTTCTGGAACTACAGCAGGCAGGCCAGCGGAATGTTCAACTGTTTCAGCCGCTTCTGGTGAGTTACAGCTATGATAGGAAACGTTGTGATCCAATCCTATTCTAGCCGCGTGAGTTGCCATCGCCCAGGGTCCTGTGAATAGTTGTAGAAAAATCCTTGTTGTTCAGTTTAATTACTATTGGAGCCCTGTTTAAGCAGCAGGAAGGCCATAAACTTCTGCAGATCACACAGATTTGGAGGATCTTACAACTTGGATTAGACACGTTTAGCCAGTGCTGAGAAATCTGGCCTATACTACTACTCGGATGCACGAGATACTCGTCAGAGCAGCTCGATCGTTATCTCGTTTCCACAAATGCTGCAATGCGATGTCTGCAGTGTGAAACCATAACGTTCTCTTTACATTGATTGACTAGGTTGATAGCAATTGTCACACAGTCAAGTACCTTAATAAACGCCTTGCTGTCTGAAAAAATTACGATATTTGTTCTCGGCCGATCTGTGATCCAGCCTATTGTAGATATCTCCCCAGTAAGAAAATTCTCGCCTTAAAAACCGTTGCGGAATATACTTAATGACTGCATAGAAATTTTTACCTGTAAATCATTCGAAAAGCTTCCCGCTACCACAGCGCAAGTCATTTTTTAACCATTCTTCCCAATCCTCTCGTGATGTCGATGTTTTTATCGAGAAAAATTAAGAGACAAAAAAGTCCGATTCACAGCAAATCCATTGATCATTTTTCTGTTTTAGGGCTCTCAGTTAAGAAGTTTCTTCGATCAAAATAATATCGGTTCCAGGAGGCACATCACGTCAATCACTTACGTTGGATTAGATCTGAAAGTCATGGTAATCGCAACGCAGGCCACTCGTCTCAATTACTTTCCATCAACTCTTACTGAGCATTTTTTTTCACATATAGTCTCCCGTTTTATTTTGGAGTAGGTTTGTATCCTAAGTAGGTACATATGCACATAATAAGACACATTTAAATTGGGAATTTCGTTACTCCTGGTAAAAAAGAGTCATCTAGTATCTGGTTATCTGGACATGAACTCAGCTTCCTCAGCGCTCTTTGGAGGATCTCACTGATCATGCTCGCACACAACACATTTGCCACAAAGCTATAAAAGGGGGAAACCCCCTGTACAGCGGAGTGCCTCTGCTGGCTGACTGTCTGTTATATTCGCTGCTACCTAGTTTTGCGGTTATATTATCCAATCTGTATCTACTTTGGCCAATGCTGCTTGGACCCACTTTCATTAGTACTTGAAGATCCAGCCTACTTCATTGTTTCAGCTATGAAACTTTTTCTGTCTCAGCCAAGGATCGAGTCATTTGATCCATTTCGGTACCGCTACTGGACTTCACCGCTCATTGGCTCTTATTTGTGAGTGTCTTCTTATAAGGTTTCATATCGAAATCTGTGGTTCAAGAAGTCTACGTTTAATATCTCGCACCTTCTGATCAATGAAGTTTTAACAAGGCAAGGAAATTATTAGGCAGTAGGTCGAACTTGCTGGGTGGCTTTATGGGATGCTGTAGAGTGCAGATCATGGATCTGACCCTGTGTATACCTGTAACAAACTCACCAGGCGAATTCGGCATTATTGTTGGTGGGTGCCGTTGGGTCTTTTGTGTGCTTTAATTGCGGGCCTCTGTCATAGATGTGCTCCGTGGTGGCTCAACTGTAGTTATAGAGAAGGCTGTAGTTCATGTTGATAGGTGTTGAGGCACACCGAACACCTAGCTTAAGAATGTCAATAGATCGAGGAGACTTGCGCGCTCCAGGCAGACATCCGTTGTACCTGGGTAAGGCTAAGTAGCTCTGAAAATCGTTTGGAATTTGAAGTACCACGTTTGCGAAAGGGCTTTGGGAGAGACTCCAAGTTAGGCCTCGGCAAAAGCCATATGGTCTAGATCTGAAAATAGCAAGGAATCGACTTTCGGCTGGGATTTTCGCTTAGATGTACATACATATTTATAAGGTAACTTTGGATTAGGAAAGGCACGCCGCTCAAAATACCCACACAAGAGTTCCAAGGCGTCACCAAGGGGAGGCCGTTTTTACTAAGGGATTTCAGGAGTGACAAAACACTTTCGTAAGTGCAAGTTGCCTTTTTTCATCAAAATCCTTCTAATGTATGTGTATTTCTATTTTTTTTTTTTTTGCTATAACTTATCACTAGAAAACTGGCTAAGTCAATATATGTACATATCTACATATGTGCATATGTATGCATATAAAAACATTCACTACTTCATAAATTAAAATAAACCCTTTCATCGCTAAAATAACAAAAAATAGAAAGCTTGTGACAATTTGATTTAAAATAACAACTCAACTTTTGCAGACACAAGCTTACATTACCACACTTGCATTTGAATATTCTGCGCGCCAAAAAATTTAAATTTTTTAAATAGAATTTTCGCTTACAAAAAAAAATGCGAATTACCCTTTCCGTTTACCAACGTATTTCAGTGAATAGGAAATTCTAACGGAAAATAAAGCAAAAAAAATGTTTAATGAAATCCTAGCACTTCAGAGCAAAAAAACATTAATGAAATAGTATGGATATTATGACAATAATGGTAATGGGAAGCAACACCGAACATATGTATGTACACACTTAAATATCTGTGGATGCTTAAACACAAAAGTGAGATATGTGTAAATGTATGTCGGTATGTACATATGTACATATGTATGAGTAATCGTATTACACAAACACACGCAAAACGAGCGATGCAATTGTTATTAAATCGCACGTAGGCAGATTGCTTAGAAAGCTTAGCGCCTTTGGTAGTCATACATGTGTCCTTACATATGTATATACGTTTTATGTACGTCCTTTTTGTTACCACATTCATAGGGATGCATTTGTATGTATGTGTTTGCTTCTTCATCTCGCAAACCTTCTTCCACAGCATCCTTACATATCCTTGCGCGCCTAGACAAAGGCACCCAATATTTCTCAAGTCTCCCTTCATTTAAATATTTACACATACATAGATACATACGCATCACATATGTATGTAAGTGAGCGCACCAGTTGATCTTCAAATAGCAAAATCAAGCAAACTAGGCGGAGTTGTATGCTACATATTTTATTTGGCAATATTTTACTACTCTCACGCACGTTATATCATACTTGACTTCTCTTTCGCGCTGTCGAACAGAGGCGCTCTCCAATTCCGCTGTTTACCTACTTTTTTCCTTCTTTTAAAAGTTAATACGGTGGCGCATGCGTAAAAAAAATTCTAATAAGAATGCTACAGCTTCCCAGTTTACTCTCACACCTATACATATGTATGTATGTATAATCATGCAGGTATATATGTATGTGAGGACCATTTTGTTAAATCGCGCACTCTGACAAATCTGCGTGAGCATACTTTCTGTGCCAAACGATCACTGAACCGTCATTTGTTCACCCCTACATATTCAGATTTTGGTCGGCCAGCCAGCCATCCATCGCGCGACTACCCAGCCTTGCCTGCCGTTCCTGTGTGTGGCTATATATTTCGCTGATTACACGGCAGCGTGTATTCAGGGACTAAAGGTGAGTTAGTGTCAGTGAGCGGATTCTCAATTTCCTTCATGGCATTCATTTACTTGTCGAGGTGCACAGTGGGGCGTCCCCATATATGGTACGGTCAAAAGTAGCAACAAATTCGCTAAAATTTTTTCAACATATATCGTGAATAACATACTAAAATAGTATGTACTGAAGTAGACAAAGCACAAAATAAATTTTCAGAAGAGTGGAAAATTTTAGAAAATTTTCAAAACTGTTAATATATTTTAGAACTCTAAGAATTTTCTAGGTTTTTTAGGATGGATTTCAGAACAAATAAAATTCTCAAAATTTTGGAAAATATAAAATTTCTAAAGTCTCAATAGTTTTGTACATTTCAAAATATTCTCATTTTACCAAAATTTCTAGACCCTCCCAGATCTCGATAGTTTTTAAAATTTTGGAAATTATACTAAAAATAATAAATCTGAAGAAATTTAATAATTCCATAAGATTCAAAGTGAATGAAAACTAAAAAACTGAAAAAAACCCAGTCCCGCCCCCTGGATCTGCCACTGGCTTCTTTCCCTTGAATTTTTTAGTTAAAATTTTTTTCCGCCAAAATATTAAAAGTGAGGTCCGAACGTCGTAATGTCCGTAACGCCAGCATTAATATATGGAATATTAATAAAAAATGGTTACGAATCAGACTGGCTTATTATAAATATATGTACATATCTGCACTACGTAGTAACAAAATTAATTTAAATTACTTGCGACAAAAACAAAATTGTTTCATACAAATGTATCGAAAATTATTTTTGATTTGGATTAGCTGATATTTTTCTATGAATCTGCGTAATCGCTTTTTCAGCATCCGCTTGTCCGTTTTTTTTTTTTGCAATATTTGGCCACTATAGTCCCATTGTGCGACGCTTACTTCAATTAACTTCCCTCTATGGCTGATTCACCAGTCAGCAGTAGGGCAGTCGACGTTTGTGCTTTTGTGAGTATTTGTGACTCTTGTTTTTTGTTGCTGTAAACACTCATTTTTTGTTACCTTGATATCAGCCGCGCTTCTGCTCAGTTTAACCCTTTTCAGATAGCTATCCTTGCTCCTTGCTGTCACGCGGCAGCAATCAGCGTCAACAACGTGAGTGTGTTAGTATTTTTTCACATTGTAGTAGATATACATACAAGACTGTGTGTGTGATATTTACCTTTTTGTGCGCTTCGCCAAGCAACTTCAAGAATTTTCCCTCCAAGAAAGTTAGTAGTCACAAATGCAGCGACGACGGTCGGTCACACAGAAACAGACGACAGTCGACAGCCGCGATAACCACGATTTCTATAGCGCAAACAAGCTAAAGGCAATCGTCGACCGACCGAGCAGCCGGCCGGCTTCTGCACACAGCACAACAGTTGTCCAACGACGACGCGATTGACTAGAACTTGGTTTGCCATCAATTAGAACGGATGAGTGGCGCGCATTACCGCGTAGACGGTGCACAAAACAAAGCAAAGCAAAAAAACAAAAATTTGAAATTTGGAAGAAACCAACAAAAAACAAATATTACTAACTAAGATTAAACCATAAAAAAAAATATATTAAAAACGCAACAGACGTTTTAACGCAAAATAGTTTTAGTGTATCCTTGCAAGTGTAGCATTGTTGTTTTTTTGCCGCCGAATTGTATTTTAGTGACTAACACACCTACGAGCATCCTGCATCCTGCATCTTGCGACTTAAAACTTCTGTCTTGTTGTGTTTCTTAGAGTGGTGTGCATCCCAAAAAAAAAAACAAGTAGCATTCGTACATTCGTAGTTTGCATGTTTCTCCAACACATTTCGCGCCACATTTTGTATTTTGTGTGTGTTTTTCTTAGTTGTATATTTTTGTATTTCATCTCCTCCTCAATCTCCTACCCCCACCCCATCGGAACCACACATTATCCACGCTCACCCACTCCTTGCGCGCAATGGATTCAAGCAACGGCGGCAGCAGCAGCTTTGTCAACGTTTCGACTACAAATGCCTCCAGCGTCACAGCTTCGGCCACAATAACCCCCGCCCCCGCCTCTACGTTAGCATCAGCCGCTGCGACTACTGCCTGCTCCTTAACGACTACAGCGACTACGACCATTCCCAGCAGCAGCGGCAGCAGCAATTCGAGTGCAACCGCCTCGACTGTGTCAGCCGGCTTATGTGCCGTCGGCAATCAGACTGCAACTACAACAGTTTTGGCGCCGATCGCGTCGGCAGCCGCAGGCGCTGTGGGTGGCGCTATTAGCTTAATGACGTCAACAGCTGCGGCGACACAAACGCTGCAGCCGTTTCCTGTATCCGATGTTTCTTCTAAGGGCGAAGATATCAATAATTCTTCGCTAGCCAGTGGCATCTCGGAAGGACAACGCTCCATATCTGCTGCCCCATCCGCCTCGTCGAGCCCGATTTTGAGTCCGCCTGGCAAAATTTTCGGCCGCAATGCCAATGGAACGAGTGAGTACATTTTTAAATTATTTGTGAATGTTATATACATTTTAGAATGTGGACATTCCTATTGCATTAAATAGGTACTTTTTATTTGAAGAAAGACTAAGGTTATGGGGAGGGAAGTAAATTTTTGTGTGCACCAAAGTGTTCTCATAAAACTCGGTTCATATTCAGCTGACCTACAGAGATGGGTCGAAAATGATTGCAAAGTTATGCACGATAAATAATATTTTTCAAAAACTATCGTTGTCTGCATGAAGACACATGTGACTACAGTTATCATTACGTTGGATGAAATAAAAATAAAGACAACACTGTTGGTGAGCACGCAAACTTGAAAAATTGCCCACAGGCAACATTGGGCTCGAAAGGGTTAACAGGGTAAAAATTTATAATATGACTTTTATGGTACCTCGAAAGCCATATAACTTTTGCCGTTTAAATTTTACGACATTCTACAATACGACACCGTTGTGTGTGTTTAAAAAAATCGAGAGTTGCCACCCTTTTGAAAAATTTTGATTGATTAAATTGATAAAATAAAAAAAAAAAATATTATACTATGTGTACATTTTGAGATTTAATGAAGATTTAGCCCTCTGATGAGATTTGGCGTTAAATCTTTTGAGATTTACCATATAAAATTAAATCTCGAAAGGCTGTAGATTTAAGTTAAATCTTCGTCAAATCTTCAATAATATTGATCAATAAGTACAATTTGTTGGATGTGGCAACCACAAATTCACCTGCCATAAGTCAAATGACATTTGTGTTTTCAATATACAGTTGAGGACATTGAAATCTAGCCTATCATAAAAACATGAATTTTCGTATTTTTGGGAATTCTTATATTTTTGTTAGTTTGGGAGGAAAATTAGTAATACATATGTACATAACTTTGGTTGTAATAAATTATAAAAATATTTTTTTAAAAACTAAAAATTTAGAAGAAATGTTTTATAGTAATATTATGCAGAGTCTTCTCCGCTTTCTATAAGTCATTTGCGCGCTCCGACAAAAAATTTATAAATTTCGGTAATGGTTCTGCTTCGATAACATTGCACCGAACATCCTCTAGAACTCAATTCGTCTTCATGATATGCCAAAGGCCCACGATTGAATTTTCGGTTCCCTCCTATGAATAAGAGAGTTCTACAAAAATTTTCCTTTCCGCAAATGTTTTTTACCGTTTCGATAATTTTTCTTAAATTCGGGAATTTAAAATTATACTTACATATTTACCACGAATAAGAAGCCAATAATATTAAGAATTCACATAATGAAATTCCGCTTGGCACCTTCCTTTTATCTGTCTGTATATCAATGTCCGCAACTGTATTTATAAAATCATACATAAGCAAAAGCGAAATATTTAAAAATGTGAACGTCAAACATATCTCGTTGTGGTACCGGAGACGGTTGTGATTTAGCAACTGGATTTATTAAATCTTAATGGATAAATCTCTCAATGGAGACAAAGTATTACAATTTAATAATAATAGATTGGCGCTCACACATATGTTAATGTTTGGTCGAGCCTCTCCTCCGATTTGTGGCGTGCGCCTTGTTGTTGTCACACAAAATGGAGGGACCTACAGTTGTACGTCGAATCCGAACGGCGATTGTATTGTTATGAGAAGCTGTTTTTCATGGCAGAAATACACTCGGAGGTTTGCCATTGCCTGCCGAGGGGCGAACGCTGTTAAAAAAAAAAAAACTTTTTTCTAAATTTTTTTGCGATGTTGCTTTTAACAGGGCTTGAACCCAGGCCGCGCGGAGTGGAAGCGCGCACTACAATTACACCGCAGCGGCCGCCGATATTACAATTTGGGTACCACCATAATGACGTTTTAGAAAGCTTAGTTTGGAAAATATTTTTGAAGAGCGTTGCCATATGTTTCAAAAATTTTATTCAATTAAATTGATACGATAAATAACAAATTACTGCAATACAGGTGTCAAACTAAAGAGGCTTCTAAAATATTTTTGTAGAAGGCGGCCAACTGTTTGAAAACTTTTAGTTAATTAAATTAATAAGGTAAATGAAATGTTGCAAATGCGGATGCCAAAATAAAGTAGTTTAAGAGAGCATAATTCAGAAAATATTTTTAAAGAAAATTTTAATTCAATTAAATTTATAAGATAGATGATATATTACAATATTGGTGTCAAACGAAGAGTGTTTAAGAATTTTTTAACTCGGAAAAAATTTTCAATAATGTCGTCAATATAAAAAGTTAAAACAAATTTATTTTTTTATTTAAATTTAGTACAATGAGATAGGTACCAAACGAAAGGTATTTGACAGGCTTTAGTAGAATGTAGAATCAATTTATCTATTATAAAACGAATTGTTCAAAAGCTTTTCGATCCGGATATTTTTCAGAAGGGCTGCCACTGATATTAATGTTTGTACTGAGAGTTTTAGTAATAGAGTTGAAGGACAAATTGTGAAAAATTAACGAAAGAAAAGGTATTGAAAACAGCTACTCATATATTTTTTATCTTGTCATCCTCTGTTCCCGATAAGCTAACACTCATCCCTCTTCTACCTCCGTTAGTGGTGTTCCACGAGGCATTCTTTACCTATATTAACCCCGAAATTAACAAAATGTCTTTTTGAGCGAAAGTCAGCCGACATAAAATTTGTATTATTATAAAAATTTGGTCTTATAAATATTTCACGCTGAATTAGAAATGGTAACGTGGGGCAGAAAAAATACAACAACATTTATGACATATAGTACCGCTATAAAACTTAGACTGATCATGTGACAGTGTTGCCACATAATGAAATTATTTTATATGAAAACTGTGTTGTTAACGAATATAAATATTTGTCTTATAATTATTTCGCTGGGTGTAGGTATAGAAACAGGAATTTACGTATCTGCAGTGACAACCAAACAACACTCAAGGCAAGTTGGGCAATGCAAGTCTCAACTAAATTATGTTGGAAAACATAATGAATTGGTTTTAGTTTGGGTGTCATGTCAAACGCGAGCACCAGGTAATGGGACATCTGACCATTTGGTTAGAGAAGTTTCAAACTAGGTATTCATTTGCCCGCAACCAGTTGTAGCACTCCTATCTTCGAACATCAAAACCACGCCCACCATCAGAACTGGATGTACATATATTTCGCTCAGCAGTGACTGGGCGACTTAGGGGGGCTAAGGGTGGGCATAACTCGTGCTGCTTCAATCCTTTCTAGGTATTTGCTTTCATTGAGCAAATCGGACTACAGACAACTTGTAGGACTGTTCACTAGTCTTGGACTGTTAACTTCTCGTGCCATAAACAGCTGATTGTTGTGATAGGCCAACCCCATTAACTTCCTGTCATGCGGTGGAACAATTATTGTGCTTCTGTCCCGCCTTGGCAAGGATGAGGATGAGGCATTTGGCAGCGATGTATTGAGAGACGAACATTTGATCTCTCTAACGCCCAAAAATCTGTTCCGTAATTCATTTGGATTTAAAAGAAACAGGAAAATAGTACAATGGACGGCATACATAAAGTATGAGTGTCTGCCCGCGTAGTTTTGTGTTAGCTCCTCCGACAAAAAAAAAAAAGCAAGTGCACTTTCAACAAGATTATAAATATTTTATAAGAAAACCTCCGAAAGTTCTAAACCATCTCTGTTCAGGAGTTGTCAAAAACTTACTTAATCCTACAAATACTTTAAATAGAATGTCATGAAAAAAAAATCGGAAGAAATAGCTAAAAGTGTGAGCATTTGCTAAAAATTGCTTCTCCCAATAAGGACAATCTTACTTTAATACGAGTACCAATGTTTTTCAGGTTTAGAAACACTCCCCTTACTACGTGACTAATCCTCGCACGGGCTGCAGTTGGTCCACATTACCTTCTGCTGAATCCCTCCATTCGCCCACTACGTTACTGCCTTGTCGCCTTAGAGGACGGCGAGTTTATCGCCGCCGCTCTACAGACAGTGGTTGGTTAGTTAGCAACCAATTATTTTTTGGTACGGAGATTTTATTTTGCCGCTAGTCGCTTCTTTTCTGAAAACAATCAAATTGTGGAAACGTTTTTGGTAACAGCGGTCGCAATGGCACACGACTTTTAAAGTTTCTTGCCAAATGTTTAGGCTCTGACCTCTTCTTCCCCACTGCAACTCTGATGCTCTGCGTCTGACTTGTTTAGTTCTTTGATTAAAGTGTTTTATCGTCCTGGATCTGTCTGGCAGTCATATACGATCCTGTAGACACAAACACAAGAGACTGCCAGAGTCTTCTCCACACGACTCTCCTACCTGCTCTCTGGGAGCTTTGTTCAACAAAACGACTTATGCGAGCAGTAGAACCACATTTCCCCCTAATTACGTACTGCCTCTGAAGAAAATAAAAGATGACGCACAATATATATGGAGCTGAAGATGGAAGCTGGACTTATTTTCCGAAATCAAAAAAATACGGAGGCCGAAATATTGAGTGCGAAAAGCTAGAAATGCTAAGTGACAAGAAAAATGTTCGAAAACTGTGTCGGAGTATTAGGCGACTTACGAAAAGTTTCAAGACGAGTACGAATTTATGTAAAAACAAACACGGCGGCCTAGTGACCGATGTCCAGAACGTAGCAGCGTAACAACATTGACCCGAGCACCCCGTCGCAAATAAGGGAGTCGATTTACCATCAGCCGACTATGATGGGGTACAAAAAGTATTTTATCGTCTGGGCTTTTTAAGTGCGACGGCGAAAAGTTTGGAAAGTACATGTAACAGCTTTAATGCAGAATATGGTTAGATGAATACATGCCGCACGGTTAGAATTTAAGTGTGCTTTGTCCAATCGATAAGAACGGTGACCCCGCTATATGCGCCGACTACCGTGGCATTAACCTTCTTAATATGCATTAACTGCAATAATAATGTAAGCCTCAAAATTCAAAGCCAACAGAATCACCCTTGCCAACAAGTGCTACTTTGGGCTGAGTAGGCGATAGGGAAGTAAATTTCTCGATCGACATACGAAAGCGACACTCT